TAGAGATCAAACGGAAATGTCTACTAGAAATTCACGTCATAGTAGAGCTCCTGAGAGATTTGGTGTATGAGCCCAACTCATGCATTCTCAAAGATCTTTATCCTGATTTTGAGGATGAGAATGGAGTGATGTTGATCTTGGAAGAAGATGAAACTTCTTCATACATGAAAGCTCAAGCTTCGATCAACAAGCTTGAGTGAAATGCTGCCATGGAGCGAAAGATGCAGTTACTGATTGACAACAAGACTTGGGAGTTGGTTGAGCTTCATAAACATCAAACACTGATTGACTCTAAGCTGAAAGTGAGTGTACAAGCTGAAAGACAATCTAGCAGGAGATGAGGTCAGATTCAAAGCCAGGTTGGTGGCTAGAGGTTTCACACAGGAGAAGTATGTGAATTACAACAAACTTTTTTAGCATGTATGCAAAGTATGCAATTTATGGATGTAGATTTTTGCGTTGTTTTTATAAAGGATTGTTTCTTTGGATTTGTATGATAAAATTTGTAAATTGCTACACACTCAGACTTGCTACTTTAAATTTTAGCTTGTAAATTTTAGCTTGTACTTTAAATTTTAAAACTAAACCCTAAACCTTTAATCTAATCCATAGATAAAAATAAAATTGAACTTTTTTGCAAAGTAAAGCAATTTTATAAATCTTTACTAGAAGATAGAAAAAGTGAAAAGATTGGAAGAATATGGATAATCTAAACTAAACATGACCTTATAACATAAATGCTTGTATAAAAATATGAATGATAAGACATGATTAACATGCTACCAAATTACATTTGAGGATCTACATATTATAATAGAAGAGATTAATTGACCTTGTTTTGCTAAAGAAAAATGCTTAGGAAGTGGTTTAAACTTCAAAGAGAAAGTCTATATTTGTTAAGTTGAATTCAACTAAAGAGATCTGAAAAAACAACAAAAAACACTTATACATCATTAAGAAAAGTTTACATTTGAGATCAAAGTTATTGGTAGCTATTTATAAGAATCCAAGCATTCAAGATTCCCCTATATTTCACACTATTCCTACATGTTACAAAGAATTCTTAGTAGATAATGTTGTACTCACAAATACATGAAATTTTTTTTTCAAATTTTGATATGATGGATTGAATATGTGCATGACATTCCAACCAAAACATATGTATATTATTGCAAGAGAAAATCAATCAGGTGGACATTAAATTAAAAAAATTTTAGTTGAAATGTCATGCATATATTCAACCCACCACATCAAAATTTGCAAGGAAAATTCCATGTGATCACTCAAGCTGTTGCAACGCCATAAATTAAAAGACCTTTTTTTCCTTTGATGGAAAAATTTACATCCAAGCCAAATTTTTGATTTTGAGCAAATCTTGCAATCTCTACAATGTTACATACAATATTTTGGCAGCATCACAAGTTTGACCTTTAATCCTTTAGAAAGCTTTTGAATCTAAAGATTGTAGCTATGAACTACTTTTTATCTCTCTTTGCCAAGTGATATACATATTCACACAATCCGCATTCAAATTTCTTGCTATTCATCATGGAAAATTTTTCTTCCAAAACTTGTTAAGAATTGAAGAGTTGATATGCTAAATTGGTTCACCTTCAACAAATTTTACTAGTGATTCCTTAGACTTAGTTGCACCATCTTTCGTCCACTAACTTACATATAAATCGTTGAAATTGACTTTTAAGCATCAAATTTTCATTGCTTGAACGCAATCTATGCAGTTGTTGTGAAGTTGTGCCCCTCACAATTACGTCTGTCTTTCAAATTGAACCCTCAGAATGATTGACAACTCTTAAAGCCCCTGTTTAATTCAAGAGGCGATTCTTTGACAACAGCAAGATCTTGAATTTACTGAGTTTGACTCATTATGATTCAATCACATGTGATCTTTGATATCATATGCAATTATACTTTGGATCATCCATCAAGTTCAATCGCCTTGTTATATTGATTATTTCAGCGCTCTTAGATCTTTACACACTTGTACTTCACAAATCACATCACCTTGATACTCTCAACTTCGTTAGCTTTCATATCGTTTAATCCTGCACACAATTTTGAGTTTATTTTCAGTTTTCATCTTCGTTAACGCAATTGAGTCGTTATCATGCAACAAGCTTTGATGTTAATTATTACAAATTTATAAAAAAAATATCAAAATTTTATAAAAACACACATCAACATACATACAAAATGTCAAGACTTGATTTGCCATTGTAAACTACGTCCACAAAAATTCAATGTTTATTTACCAATAAGAACTCATTAAAACTATTTAAGGTTTAGGGAGTTTTTGCTACCTCTCTTTCATAGTAATTGCATTCAGTAAATCCTTATTATGATTTAACTGCCTAAATTAAACATACATAAGTTGATCATAAATTAAAAAAAGAGAGTATAATTTCAATGAAATCTCAAAATTTTGAAGTGGTATTAAATTAAAATCACATGTGTTGAAAATAAATTAAATGTTGTGATTTTTAAAATGGATTGAATTATATTTAATTTTATTGATCAACATTTCAACTCAATTAAATGGATTAAATTAAAATGAATTTTAAGACTCAATATACAAACTTAACATTCTAAGTATTTGTATATCTTCAAATACTCAGAATAGTTTCAATAATATATTATACAAAATCTTTTGCAAAAAAATGCTTAAAAATATTTTTCATATAATCAATTTGATAATATTCATATTTTTTATTATTTTAAAACTATATATCCTGTTTTTTCTTTATCGTAATTTTATCAATCAATTTTTTTTGGATGTGAACAGTTTAATTAACATATTCAATCAACACAAAAATATTTTATGTATCTTTTTACTTCTATGCTTTTTTGTATCATTATAATTTATTATTTTAGATGCTTTGTAATCATATTATAACTCATTCAGCAATTTTTTCCTAGAATTTTAATTATAATGAAAAACGCTAAAAAATATTTCAAAAATATTTTTTAAAAATACTTCATAAATTTAAATAAGATAAAAATACATTCTAAAATATATCTAGCTATATGTTATTGATTATATAATTTTTAAATATGTAAATTAAATCAAGATTTTTATGCATAAATTACATTGATTTTAATATCTATATATTTCAGATATCTCTTGAATTTTTATTGCAATAACATATCCATTTAAAAATTAGTTAAAATTAATGGAGGTAATTGATTCATTGGATCAACAAATCATCAGAATATTATCGTAAATTTTTTTAATTGTAGCAATATGTGCTCAATATTTTGAAATCACACAAATAAAATTGCACAAAGATTTGATTCCAACAATAAAATATTTTTTGATATATAAATTAATTTTTTTAATACAATAGAAGATATTGACGCATTTAGAATGAACTTAGATGCAATAGATAGAATTTTCATACAATCTTTTCAATAGAAAAGAAATAATGAAGATACACTTAAAATTATATTTAATATCTAAGTAGATAAAATTTTATTAATAAAATTTTATTATTTTTTACAAAAAATAATCAAAAATATCATTGAAAAGACTAGAATTTTGAGATAATTACTAGATACAAAAAAATGGTTTTCTAAACATAAAATTTAGGATACAAATTTATGTCATTTAATTTCACCAAAAAAAAAGTATTTATTATAAAAGTCTCAAAAACTAACAAAAGCAGATTATTCAGAATTTTTAACATAAATATTTAAAAAAGTACTCAAATAATGAATGCTTATAAATATAAAATTAGGTTGACATTTTTTGAAAAGAAATAAGACTAAAGCTTGAAGTTTTTTTGAAATAGCTTGCATTGATTTCAGCATAAATTTATATGTGTTCATGACGTTTATCTCAAGATACATGAAAATTAGTTGTAATCGTCTCTTACAAGCAAGGTATTTATAATACTTGTATAGATATAGTGACATAATATCATTCATTCTATTCAAAAACCTGTTTCCCTATTTTCTTTATTTTGATATTCATGAATTCAAACAGTATATATTTTTGACAATTCTTATTCATTTAGTCAATGTATTGACTAATAATGAATAATTCATTCAATCGAGTTTCTGTTTAGTCTAATGTTGGAAGTAAGACATTAGTAGTTCACCTTCGAATTTATTACGTTGTTATGTTAAAGTCCTATGTTGTTATTGAATATCAAGGTAACTTTTATTGATCAAAATAGATGTTATGATTATCTGTAATTGAAAATATTGAAACGAATTTTTTGCAGGAGTCAGGTTACAAGGTTAGCAAAATTCAGCTTGTGTTATATTCATCTTTTGTTTTTGATCTTAATGAAAGTAGTACTCTTCTTCAAAAAACATGCACTCAAATACATATTCGAGAATTTTAGTTTTATTTTTAATTCAGAAATACTTCTTAAAACTTATCAGACATCAGATGTACAATGTTGATATATCTCATGTTAATTGTAAGCATGTACAATAGAAAAACTTTGAACTTACGACTTAATTAAAAAATCTATAATTCTCGGATTGTTTGTAACTATGATTGTGATGACAATCCCAAGAGGATGAATTGATGTTTACTTTGTACCAAGTTTTCACTACATTCAAAAAAACTCAGTCGTTGAAAATCAATATCTTAACTCATATTTCTTTACTGCATGATTTGACTATTACCTAATCTCTGTTTGCAAGTTCGAACTGTATATAGATTCTAAACGTTGTCATTAATTATGAGGTCATCAGAAATTACTCTCTTAGGTTTGAGAAAAGGTGATAAATCTCTAAGGAGAAAAAATTAGTTAAAAAAGGTACTAATATGAATAAGATCATTGAAGCGAAAGAATTAATTCCTTTCTAATGATTGAGAGATTTTTATACTTCAAAGTCCGTGTTGGAAATTAGCCACACACCAGGTAAAGTTCCGATGATGGAGGAAAAGTCTGAATCAATACACACACAAATCAATCTGCAGCAAAAATCATCTTTCGCTTCAAGACTAGCAAAGCAAATTCGTACAGGCCCAAGAACTTAATGCTTTGAATCTTCTGTCTCAACAAATGTGGTTTCTCTAGTTTTAAAGTTGCGAGCACATGGTTGAACTCTTCAAGACTATGTTCGCAACTTGAAGGGACCGTGTCCCTTCGTTCAGTCAATAGCAAGTAACATAGAAAGGATGTTACTTATGAATGATGAGAACTTAGAATAAAAAAAGCCAACTTGAAATAACATCTTTAAGATTGGTGATGGATACGGACAACGCAGACAAGCATGAGATCACCGATAAGACTGAGCGTGGGATCTAGATCAGCACCATGAAATCGCTCGAGCCATCTTGTACACTGTAAGCATAGGCAACGTACTCACACCATGAACTGGATATCTTTGTCGTAAAGGAGGGTCAAAGCTAATTGCATCCGCAACCTTTCTTCAATGCTCGTATTCTGAGGCCTCTGTGTGCCTTGAACACTGCAATGAGCAGCCAAATGCTGGACCTACACCTCTTCAGGATATGATCCAGTTGTTTTCCACAAATTGTCATGAGCATACTTTACACGAAGAACTTTCAGGCGAGAAAAAAAACGTGGAAATTGCTTGGCTATTGTAACACAAAAGTGTTGACACGGAACTCGCCTGGCCACATTCAGTGACATAAGATGAAGTTGGATCCTGATACCAAAGTCCAGTTGCCAATCGAAGGTTCTTGCAGTGGGTACACAATGAGAGGCTGTTGGCGACGGGTCGAGTCAATTGACACGGGCACGAGAACTTATATTGATAGCACGTGTGAAATTGCGTAGCCCGAAACATAATTTTTTACGATTCTTTGAATCTCAAAATCATTTCTGACCATGAGTTTTCGTGCTAAAGGTGCAAGGTCTGCTCTGAACTCGATGGGTCGTCACGTGATGGCGAAATTCATCAAGGTTATTTGCTAGGTCTCTTGCTACTGGACGTCTATTCTTACTTGAGGACATAAAAAAAGAAACAGGGGGCGCATGGAATAAAAGCACAAGACGGGAAACCATACCAAGGCAATTTGGAGCAGAGCCGGCAAGTGAAAAGTCAAGAGAAACTCAACACAAAGCGTAAAACTAGTGACAACTGGTTACCGTCGTGATAATTCACTATTGTAGTCTGCATAATTCCCGAACAAACAGGAATCCAATCACAACAATCTTCATCACACTTGCAAATTCTAAAACACGTTGTAATCCATGCAAATACGACATAACAATTGAAGACGAGTTAGAAGAGAGCCACATCTCCTTTCTCAGTCGAGTGGTGCATGCGTGTTCATTGCAGCCCGACGGAGTCACAAGCGAGTACGGAGCCGAAGCAATGACAACGTGGAAGTGGAGAATGATCTTACCTAGAAAGCTCAGCCTGCATAGATTACATCATTATGTTCCACAACGAAGCCCAACAGTTTAAATACACTGCATATTCTGTTATAAAAATATGAGAGTAAGCAACTGCATGGGAAAGCAACCTCCATTGTCCACGAGTTTCAAAACTTTTCAATATTAATGTATTGCACATTTTTCGGCTAACGTATGAACAAGCGCACATGGCATTTCTGGGATGACCGATTTTTCGTTACCGCTTACCTTGCCCACGAAACTGGGATACCAAGTCAAGTCTGCTGGATTTTTCTCCTGTAAGCTTGGAGTGCATATACTAACCACCTTAAAGGAACAGGAAAAATCAGTCATACAACGTTGTTTAGAAAAAGATAGTATCGATAAATCCAACAGAAAACAGCACTGTTGAGATGCTCGGAAACAGGTTTGTTCCCGGGCACTTACGAATTGTATCCATATTAATCTTGAAGGTTAATCCGCTTACTTGTGAGGAGGCATTGCATGCTTGCGAAGTTAGAAAGCTACAGTTGGCGCAGACGTCACTCTTCTATGCTTCTTGCACTAAGGACAAAATTATGAATCTGTCTCTTCATACAAGATCCATAACAGATGCCTTACTTGATCAAGGCTCCGAATGAGTCTGGGAAATTGTGATAGTCATAGTCCACACGCGTGATCACATGCCAGGAAATTGCAGAAAATCGAAGAACAAGAACAAGCTTTGTTTGATGTTAACTTACAGAAACAGAAACAGTGATATCCGAAGAACCATTCATATAGTTCCCACCCGGATGCAACCAAACACGGATCTTCATACGCATCCGATTTAAGAAATTTCTCCTACCCACATACATCTTCGCTCGCCCCGACCGATTGACCACGTTTTCCCTCCAAAAGGCGTTTCTTGAAATGTTGTAATTGTTGTCCAAACGCATCTTTGCTCTAAACTGAATGCAGCCACCAGTTCGCTTTCAAGTGAGTATACGTAGGGCTCGAAATGAGGACAACCAAAGAGTGAGAAGAAAGCCAAAGAATCACTTTCTGGCAAACCAGCCATGACAAGGAGATAAGGCGCCAGAGGCCAAATCGCCAAGACGAGGGTCACCTCCTCGTGTCGTTCAAGTGAGAAAATTCGTTCCCAACCCACCTCATCATGGAATGACTGAATGTTCAAACTCTTGGATGAATTTTTTTAAGGTTTGAAGTTCAATCTATCAGTTTTTTAAATTCAGAGCCATTTAAACAAACAAATATTGCAAAAATTGCTTCCCAACCTAGTGTAGCTGGCACTGTTTTCCACGGTAACTTAATCCAGTCCAATGACATTTCTAATCCCTAAATCCAAAAGTCTGGACTTCCGAATTTAACAATGCACTTGCCAAGCTCACCAAGCCAATGTACGTTTGCTTAAGAAAGTCTTACGCAAGACATGGGTAAGTGGAAATATTATTTATTTTTATATTGATTGCAAATCGTGGGCAATACTGAGGATGATACCAGTCCAAAGGATTGATCTTCTGCTAACTCAGCAAGATAGCAAAAGGTATGGTAAGACATCATCAATTTGTCTAGTGATGACACAAGTGGTCAAGAATTGCTAGCCCCAATAGCGTGACCATCGAAATATATACAGTTACACAGAGTTGTATACGTATAGGTTACATTACGTATAAACTACAGCTCGAGGCTGTTAGGTTGTTATATAATTTAATGCGTATCACCTCAAAGGAAATCTCAAGGTTTAAGTGAATCCTACAATTTACAATCTATAGGTAAGAATATGATTAAGAATCATTACACTTAATGTAAATAAGATATCTTTCTCTTCCACTCTATCATAAATATCGAAAACTCATGTATTCAGTTTCATATCATTTATATACTATAGGAACAAATAAGTTGTAATAATGTATCCAACAATTTATTTTGAATCTTCTCTTCCTGTTTTTGTTCAATTTCTATCATTGAGATTCTATGACTTTTTAAACAAACAAGTATATCACATTGCCATATTGTGACACAGATATCAAGATCAAGAATGATGTGTCATCTTCAAATTCATGATAATGTAATGGAAAATTTAAATCGTGATGAATGCCGGATTAATGCCACACAGATAGCACCTCCTTATTGAATTGACACAATATGATGAGGATTTTTATTAGATTTGTAAAACTTTGATTTTAACCCTATCATATGTAAAGCATACGTAGGATGCAAAGGATAGAAGGAAAACTCAGTTGCATTCTTTTGCAAAATATAAATGTCATTTTATCAAACTGCAATTGAATTCAAACATGAATAAAACACAACGTGATATTTTAATTGTGTTAACAGCCAATAAATTTCTGCTTCACATCAGGTGTATGTATTTCTATAACTTTTATTCGAAGGGCGATGAACTATCAGAATTTGAGTGTTTTATTCTAAGAATCTTTCAAAGCAGATTTTGACTAAATGTACATAAAAGTCTTGGTTATTTTTTAAAACGTGTATCTCATCACTTTTGTTTCCAAAGAAATGTAATGAATTATATGTTTATAGGAATTATATGAATTAGAGAGTGTTACCAAAATCAAAATTTTTATAAATCTAAAATTGTTTGTTCAGATTTCTAGATAATTTGAAAAAAAATTCCAAATTCTATAGTTTGTGTTTGAAGTTTAATTTTTTTTCAATTCAAAAAAATTAAAATTTTTTGCACAATTATAGTTGCTAAATTCCATTCTAAAAAAATAAAAAATTCATTAACATAAAATAAAATAAATGATATGAAAATTTGACGAAGAATCTCATATCGCTTTAACTCAAATTTGATCAAACGTGATAAAAAAATGAAATATTGATGCAAAGCAGGAATAAAACTATAGAAGATAAAATAACTCCGGCAAGCATGTATATAGTTGCACATATCATGTGTTTCTAAAATTATTTCGAATCAGCATGAAACAAAGTGCTTTTGTTCTGCTTTAAATTCTTTCAACTTAAGAGAATCATAATTATTCATAAAAAAAACAACTTCATACTACAATCATAATCCGTGATATAATATATCATATATATATATATATAAAAAATAAAACCAAATATTTTCATATGATACTCTGAGATTTTCATACTACAAATATTGTATGAATAGTTATTTTCATATGTTAACATATTAAAAAATATTCTATTCAAATTGATGCATTTTCGTAATAGAATATCTTGCATGTATATGTAATATACTTATGTGTAATTACGGATATAATAATTGAAATCAAAGAGACGATTACAAATTTATGATCAAAAAATTATTATCATATTTATTGTGTTTTTTGACATGAATTTTTATTTATAAACGGATATTTTTGAGAAAAAAATTATTATTTTATAATGAAGCATGGAAAGAAATGGAATATATGATGTTATTTCATATATTTATATATATACATACATATATATAACGTATTTTTCTGAAGTCAAAGAAATTTTTTTATCTTTAAACATTAAAATAATAAATAAAGATATAAGAATTAATAAGAAAAATTTTATCATCAAATAGACTAAAAACCTCTCATTTCATTCGTTGAGCAACCTTTTTTATTTTATTCTACTAAAATATTTGATTTTAATTAGAAAACAAAGAAATTGAAACGATGAATCCTTATGTGCTCATGAATATTATCCATTCAATTAAATTAATATATGCATTTTACACCAACCATAGAATTAAATCTATGGTTGATAGGAAAAAATGCTTTCTAAAAGCAAAAAATCATTAATGCTCAGTTATAAGTGCTAGAAAAAAACCAGACGAAAACCATCAAGGCAATCAAAGAGGAAAAGCGATCATAGCCAATAGGAACCCATAGCAAGCACAATGACACGGGCAGGAAAGAGAGGTACAGTACCGCAAAGCTATAGGAGTTACTTCCATCTGTTTGTATCTTATGAATCTCTATTTCTTTATTTCTTCAGTTTCATTTAAAAAAATTATATTAGTACTTATCTATTTACTTATGACCCTACGAGTTAGATGCATTGTGCTCCGGGAAGATTACTCGAATCTGCGTAGTCAATCTGTCCCCCTCAAGGGAAAGATGGATAGAGGCCAAGAAGTGAATAAAATTAAAACGTTGGTCATTAGGACTGTAGTAGAGTAGTCGGCCTAGAGGAATGGGGTCTTCATGGTTTCTTCGAACAAATCTTACGAATTAATTTGCACATTGTAGGCAGGGAGCTACGACGATGGTAGTGTAGGATCCTACCAATGTGATAGTAGGACAAATTCCTGGAACAGTACCTCGTCATCTTAGACTGGTATCTGTTTCTGTGTACAGAGTATTGACAAATAGAGTTCCAAAAGAGTAAAATAAGCACGTGTAAAATAAAAGGCTCAGGTGAAGATAAGAATTCACCTATATATTCTCTAAAATCTAGTAATAATTCACTAGGTACTCAAATAAGCTACAATATACACGCAAAACACTAGCACGCGGACAAAACGTCTCCATTTTGCATGAATAGGTTTGTGAACTTCATCGATTGTGTGAAATTTCACTTTACGATGGTCTTTAACTCCACCGGCTTGTCTTTTTCTTCATCTCACTTTTGAGAAAAATATTAATCTCACTGTTTAGTACTGAGATATTCTTTCTCTTTACTTACTCTTACTCATAAGAGATGTAGGTTACATATATTATACGAAAACGTCAAATATGACTTGTATAACTTTACACCTGCGATGTGATATTTCGTTACTCATGTGCATCAAGCGTTCTAAACAATCACATAAAATAACTTACAAACTTTGAAAAAAATAATTTGTCAAGCTGTTGCAAGGATTTTACTCCAACATGAAAATGTTAGAATGTTTGATTGTAAATTCTGAAATTAATTATGTTCAATAGGTTTTTACTCTCTCCTTCTGTTTCATCGAGTTATAGCTAGGTTAATTTCAATAAGTTTAAAATCTTCACAATTTTTTTCATCACATGTAAATCTTTACTTCCCCCATTACGATGTTATTACAAACTATAACTCAATTTCATCAAAAACTAAATGTGAACCTACATATTAGCATGATAAACTGTTTTGACATTCACTTATAGATCATAGAAATTATATTTCAAAATTTAATTGCATAAAAAAGGATTATGCATATTTTTGTATAATAAATATTTTCAAATATCAATATTATTATCATTAGATAACAACATATATTATTTTATGATAAAATATTCAGAAGATTTCTCTCAAAATTTGATCTAGGGATCAAATTTTGAGAGGAAAATTCAGATTTTTATAAAAAATTTCATAATGTAAAGATTGTAAGCTTTTATTTGACTTTCAAATCTCATAGATGAATGAAAACTAAATCTAATAACACAAGATTGTAAATTGTAAAGTGACTTACTCTGATCTATCAGTTTTTAATTTTTTCACAACTATTAGCGCAGTTATGATTAGATAATTCAATAATGAAAATACAGATATAACAATTAGAATTTATAGTGCAACGACTGTTGCTTGCATTCAAACTGTTATCTAGTCAGTATTTCTGTTATGATATACAGTATTCAAAAATTGAATATGTTTAAATCAAGCATGTGCGAGTTTGTCTAATTTTTGGATAAATTGAGTATGGCTTGAGTGAAAATATTGCATTTTATGGAATGATCATGAGCGGAATCATCATTAACATAATTATAGTGATTTACATGATTTAGATTTAAATATATATACTGTTACACTTACTTAATTTATACAAAAATTTGTTTTTTTTCTACCATATGTAAGATTCAAAATTTTGCAATTAAAATGATGCAGTAAAACTTGAAAGAAAGACGTTTAAAATCATACTTTATTAACATCAATTAGATCTTATGAGTATATCTTACTAATAATTTTCACAAAATTTATATCATTGATTGAAAATTAGCATTTGATATTTTTGAATATATAATCATACAAATAAATAACGTTTATTCTTCTATTTACAATTACATGCATATTGACTTATTTGTGTTCAAAAAACATGGCAATGATGAAAAGTCTTGAGTTCATTCATAATTTGATGATGATTTTGCAAAAATTGGTTAAAATTTTAATTATGATATTAGAATATTCATATTTTATTAAATTAACTTATTTTTATAAATAATTTCAACAAGCATAGCTGAAAAGTTGGTGTAAACTAGTTTTTCATGCATTTATTCTGATAATTTTGTATAAGTAATAGAGAAAAGTAAAAACAAAAACTTAACAAGAGATCCTGCAATAATGGGATGAGTTTTTTTTTTTTAAAAAAATGCTTTCACATATGTATTTCTTTTGAATGATCAAAAGCAGGCTAAAACAATGATCCGAATTGATATTCACATAATTTGGGAAAAAAAAACTGACTATGTTTCATCAAAGAGCAAAGAGAGACTCAGAAGGTGATTTTCAAAATAAGTGAAATTTGGAAATTATTTACGAATTACAGGTTTTTTTAAGTACAAAATAGTATGTCTAAAGACCAATTGCAATTTACATCCAAAGAACACACCGCCTTCACACGCGAAAGAAATATTAATTTGACCCAGTATACTGAATGACACTCAACACTTTTTTGCAACAATATTTTTTTTAAAAAAATAGAATGAACATCAATAATATCTGTAAGATAAGTTTGAAATTGAGCTACACCAACATCTAAAGATACAAATCTATGCGAATATCGTCATATGTTAGAGGCTAACAAGAGATTATGCAGTGCATTATTCCATCGAGTTAGATTGGAAACATGTATCATGAAGGTCATCAACGATTTACACCGAATGGCTCAGAAGAAGAAAATATGACATCTGAATATAAGGAAGTCCAAATAACAATTAACTTGAAGTTTGCTCGACAAGTAAATCACTCGAATTGCTCCATTGGCCTGTACATATTTAACCAAACCATAGACACAACAGTCTCACTTATTTTCCATAGAATCTCGTAGGCCAGACACAATGTCAGGTCGGCTCACAATGTAGTCCGACTGCCGAAGAAGACAAACAGTTCCTGAGACATCAGTTCTCTTAGCTATATAAAGGCCACCGTGGAAGTGTTTAGCTGGCAAAAGTGGACCTTATAGAAGTTCAGAACAGCCCATTCGGGCTTCTAAAGTGCGGCCCGTGCTTACATCTCACTGCAAAGTCTTCCCACACTGGTGGACAAAGGCACTGCCCGAGACTTTTCGTACCGTCATCATATTGTACGTTCACGTACTGATCACAAAACACTGGAAAAGCGCAAGAGGGTCCCTATGTCTCTTCCTCCTTTCAATGTATAGACGAAGATCTCGCTTACGGTCCAAAAGACGGATCTATGTCATAATAAATGGGAGTTTGTGAGGAGCTTGACCGGATCGTGTAAAGCTACTGTGAGGATGTAGCTAGCATCCATCTGGACCAAAAAGATTTTTTTCCAACTCTCGTCTAATTCCCCATCGCTCCATAAGGCAAACTTTCTCGTTTGTGCTTTTCTAGAGGTGCCCGTAGTATCTGTTAACTGGAACTTCTATCTATTGAGGATATCTCTAGCGATTGTCTTTTCCGAGACTACACTGTTGCATGACAATTGTCATGCAAAAGTATTGTTAACGGGATTGTACTCTGCCATGTTGCATGGAGATCTCATCGCCAAACTTTCTGCACATGAGGTTCGATTGTAGGTTTCTCAGAACGAACGTAGCTAACAATAAGTTTAAGTACGATTTACCTCTGGATGGGCTTTACGTGCAAAGTAAAGAGAAGGAAGACACAAGAATTATCTTCAAGTAATTCCATTAAGTGCAAAGGCTAGGGGATCTTTAGCAAAGGAACGAAAGATATGCCCCTCCGCACCGGAACCATTTATTAATCTTCGATCGAAGGTTCGATGACATTATATCGCTGAGGATCTTAGCCGCTGCTTTGAATGCAAACACCACGAGTGCTCTGTCCTTCTGAACGGCAGCTCGTTCCCACCGGTCGTCAGTGTCATTTGAAAACCACGAACGAGCTAACTCCGTAAATGTTCTCTACGATATGCATACCACAAGTATTCCCATCGTAGAGTACACAAATTTGACGAGATACGTGAAGAAAGGAGCAGAGCAGAAGGCTGGCCGTGTCGTATGCTGTATCGATGCCATGTTGTTGTGAGGAAGGAAGGGAGGAAGTGTGAGAGAATATTCTGCAGATCGATAGGCTCTGGGTTGACGAACAGACGGACGGACGGAAGTCACAGATCAGGTCCGGCTTTATTTAGAGCAGAGACAACTCAGAAATATGAGAAGGGCCGTGTTTAGCCACGTTTGGTTGGGAAAAGGTCAAAATGGTTGCTGCGATCGGCCACATTGCGTGAGGAGCAACAACTACCACCGGATAAGCGAGAGTCGGTTTAGGGGGTTTCTGGGAGAGCCGGGGCTCGGTCTTGGTCCTTGTACCCTCTTCCTCCGTTCTTGTGACTACAAAAATCATCTGCAGTCGATCAATCATTCCACCGGCACTCGTCGTCGATGGCATTTCGCCTCTGCTTTTGATCCCGGTGATTACTCTTTCGCTCCATCGCGCCGTCGTACGACCCAACCGGTATTTATCCATGCACATAGACTCGTGAGAGTGATGGGCTGCAGGAGGTTTTGAATCTGTAATGTCGCCATTCCCTGTTGCGCTCACTCGGACTGACAGCAGTTGTTTCCGCCCTGAGACGATGACAGGTCCGTTCCTGTCCCCTTTTCGGCAGCGAAGTTCAGCCTCCTCTTTCGTCCATCGTGATCCGTTGCTCTCGGGGACAGAGTATGACCCTCCCTCACTCCCACACTCCCACCCTCCCTTTGGATACTCTGCCGGCATCCCATTTTCTCCAACGTCGAAGCGAGCACAGAGGAAAACTGAGAGTCGATGTCGAATATCCTCCGAACGAATACGACCAATCTTAACTGGAGTAAAAGGAATCAGCATGCCAGGGTCCTATTCACTGGGCCAGAATCATGTGCTTGGTAGATCACTGCTTCGAAACTTCTGAAATCGGCAGGACCAGGACCGAAATTTGAACATTCGGACCTTGAGAAACAGGATTCATCGATACTGTGAGACCGCAGAGGAAGTAAGTCCAACAGCAATCAAGCACACATGCAATTCGAAACCTGCTCGGAAAGGATGGAAAGATACGAAATCTTGACGACAGATTTTCCAGTAAGAATAAATTTTTGTACATTTTATTTTCAATGGGCTTTCCCATCATCAGACTACGCTACGAGACCTCCATTCATCGCGGGAGATGATTCTACGCTCGGCTTTCTAGAGTAAAACCTGCGGTACTTGTCATCTACTTTGGTGAGGTAGAACGTTCCAGCGCGCAATTCCTTGATCGAGCTGGTGGGAATGTAATCGTTAGCTCCGTAGCGAGTTTCCCCGAGATGCATAGCCTTCCCAAACTTCTCCGGGGTGACCTCGATCCTAGATTCGAGCTTGCTCGTAATGTCCAGAGCTTCTGCGATCGCCGATAAGCTGAATGGAGATTCGACTGCCCTAACTCGGAAAGAGAACATAGACGACGCCAGTCCACTACCGTAAGAGAAGAATACCAGTCTTTTACCGACCAGGGACTCGGCCTTGTTGTGGATGAGAGTCACGAGGCCTCCGTATAATGCTGCGCAGTACATGTTGCCCACCACTTTGGGCAGGAGGGTCGTCGGCCCTACCTTCTCGTCGTACTGAGGCTTCGCTACCTGCTGAGCGAGCTTCTCGAGATCGCGATTCACAAGACTGTCGTCGTGCGAGAGATGAGCGAACGGCTCCAACTTGGCAGCAACTTCCTCGCCCACCAGATTGGGGCTTTGCAAGTAGTCGTTGTACACGAGGCGGGCAAAACTCTTCTGGACGAGCTTGTTGTATGGCGAATGGCAGACGACGTAATCGATGTCAGCGAGCGAAAAGGGTTGGCCTTCCTTCTTCGAATACTTGTCGCAGAAACGACGGTAGCAGAGGTCGAGGGCCTTCAGGTAGCAAGTCGTGGACAGCTTCCCATCCACGACAGGGTATTCGCTGGCCAGCACGGGCTTGTAAAAATCGTAAGCGTGCGACATTTGACTCGAAGTGTAGCTGCGCTCCATCACGAATGGGGCATTCGGCCCAATCAACATTGCCACGGCTCCGGCGCCTCCGGTGGGTCTGGCAGGGCCCTCGGCGTAAACCGCAACATCGGCGGCGACGACGAGCCCGAATCGCCCATCCCAGCCGGTGCTCTCGACCCAATTGATGCAGTTGAACAGAGCTGCGGTTCCACCGTAGCACGCATTCGTGGAATCCACGCCTTCGACATCACCATTTCCGCTCTCCTCGAAAAGCTCCATCAGATTGGTCTTGATGGACTTACTCTTATCGATGACAGTCTCACTGCCGACCTCGAGGCGCCCGATGGAATTCGGTGACACTCCATACTTCTCCATCAGAGACTTGACCACGGTCAAGCTCATGGAGATCACATCTTCGCAATCTGTGCAAAACCCCAGCTTGTCCTGCCCTAACCCGATCGTGTACTTGCCCTTGCTAACCCCGTCGTGAACCTCCAATTCTTCCTGCGAAACATAGCTCGTGGGGAAATACATCTCCACGGCCAAAATACCGACATTCTCTGGGCGTGGACAGGCCATGATTCCAATCCCTCACCCCGCGAACGACTACAGAGACGAGAATCACCAAACCGGGATCGCGCACGAACGAGAAAAATCAACCCGAACTGGTAGTAGCACTCGATGATGATTTCTGATGACTCTCTGAAACCCTGGGCTCCAAAGTACCGACCGACTCACGGACTCCGATTCTCGGCGCAACTCTTCTTCGCTCGCTCAAACTTTGAACGAAGAAGAATGAGGAAGTGGCGCTCTTGATGGCTTTTATAAAAGCGGACAGGGGCTACGAGTTCGGAGGGGGATCGTGTCCATCACTGCAGAGCACGGCAGGCCATGAGCACGCAGAAGCGGACGATCGACGGATTTCGACCCGCCCGCTCTCGATGCCCCGGCCGAGATCCTCCGGCTCCACGAGTACTGCAGTAAAGAAACGAGGGCGAGCTAGCTCATCACAGCTCATCCAGCAGACCACGCACGAGCTACCTTCGTAGGCAGCCAGGCAGCCAGCCTGCCTGCCTGCATTCCTGCCTTCCTTCGCCATCGTGCCGTCGACCGCGTAGGTTTCCGACCGGCCGTCGATCCGCCCTTGCGGGAGTGTTTCTCCGCATTCGGGTCGTCTTTGCGGCTGGGCGATGGCGCTCGTTCTCATCCCGGACGCGGCTCGGACAAGAGGCCGGTTTTAGCACTGGAGATGGGGCGACGAAGACGGGCGCCGAGTGGGGCCCGCCCTGGCCCCAACTGTCGCTCAGAGGTTCCCGCTTTTGTGGTGTCTTCTGCGAAGTACAGTGTATTGTTAGCCCGAACCGTCGTAGATCCGTCAGTCTCCTCGTTTGTGGAGCGGTGCTGAAACCGACCTGCCGTCTTTGCCCGTCAAGAACTGACCCGACGTAGTAGGAATGGTGACTACAGATACAGAGAAGAACGATACAACGAACGATACAGAGAAGATTGGCATGGACCCTCGCTTGGATGACACGCACAAGTCGAGAAATGGTCCAAATTACTTTCTTCACGAAAACGTTAATCATATAGTGATTCTAAAGTGGACACTTTATTTTATCTTCCAAGCCTGCGTAACATTTAAATGCCTACCTTACGCAGACAATTTCTCCTCTTCTAATTTGTCTTTAGTATTTCATAATTGATAGAAAGGCTGTGTACTTTTTTTTCTCACTGGGTGATCCCCTCGTTATAGATTTTGATTGAATCCTCTCTGAAATTGGGTTAGAAAGCCTGCAAAAGTATGTGAAATAGCTCTATGGAGATGCTAGCAAGGTGGTGGTGGTTTGTTAGAAGTAGGCCATGTCTTCATTTTACTCTGTTTCTAACCTAATTGGGAAATAAGTTGATCAAACTGAATGTTCACAATAATAGTTCTTTCACACCAGCTTTGTACTGTTCCTCAGCACCATATTTTGCCAAAGAGCTCTCTGTACTTCACAAAAGTTGACTTCATCAAGAACTGTGTTTTTTTTAATATGAAGTTGGAATGATTTGACCATCCGGTGAGCCGAACATCAGGACGGGATGCGGAAGTTGGATGTCAAGATTAGTTACGTAAAACTTTACATGATAATAACAGCAACAGAGAATGGAAATAAGATGAAGCGATCATTTAGACCCCAAGGACGTATAGAAGAACAAACTTGCTTTACTCACCTAAGTAACGGATTCTCGCTCAACCCAGTAGAGCAAAATTTCAGGTAGGCTCTAAATTACCAAAATTATATATATGTATGCGATTGAGAAGGTTGAGAATATCACATCTAATCAAATCCGAAGCCAAAGCCCGCAAGAAAAGATCCAACCCGGCCGCCAAAAGAAGAAATGAGAACTAATGTACATAGTGACAAAAATCACTGTGTGTGACATCTCAATCTAATTGGTGATAACTTGAGGTTTAGAACAAGCACCGACAATGAAATCCATCTTTAGGTCCTCATGTTCTGCAAAGTGTGAATAACATGTAAAAATCACATTGAACTACCACATACTTCATAACTTGGTCATACGTTTACATCATAGTTTTTATAAATATAGTTTTGAGTATCAACTCACAGTTTGATATTGGCATAAATTGCACTAATTATCTTAAAATTAATCTTTGAGTATTTGAGAAAAATGTGTGATGATCTGAGTGATTTTAAAACATGAACAAGATTTTGAAATTAAATGATGGCATAAATCAATTTTTAATTACTGTACACTATGTATTTCTATAGAAATTTAAGAAACATAATTGCTCAATAAAACATAGAATTAAACAGCAATAAAAGTCTTAACACACTTATGGGTATTTATCCAAAAAATTTTAAATTTAACAAGCTCTTCATAAGGATTCATTTTCAGTTAAAACCAAGAATGAATTGAAGAGAGCCTTGAACAAAGTGATATCATATGATTGTAAGAATAAGCTATTCTTTAAAAAAATATTTACATTAAGCAAGTTACTCATCGCGATTACCATTTGCATGTGAGAATCTGATCTCTCTTTCAAATTTCATTAATTCAACAGTGACATAAAGGACATTGTGCATATATATACTCCAACAATACAAAAAATAATTATTGTTCAAATGAGTATCTTCTGCATCTAAACTTCATCTACATTTTCAGATCTAAGCATGGTGTATAATACATACAAAAATAAATTATAAATACATTGAAATATTGATTAATAATTTTGATGAAATTTTTTCTGCTTAGGGAGAGATGACATTGGGTGTATTCCCGGGAGTGGTTTTCTAATATCTAATTCTCTTCTCTAAATTTTATTATATGATATATTTATAAATAAATATATATATTATAAAAAATTTTCATTGATAATTTTATCCTGGATAATAAATTTATATTTTGAAAAAAACGAATTGTAAATTTTTAATGCATGTGTGAATATTAGAAATGAAAAATTTCAAATTTGATGAAAGAAATTAACATTTCAAATTAAAATTTCAAAGATATTTTACACAAGTAAAGATTTGTAGTATGATGTATATTATAAAAATTGAGAGTGAATTATGGTAAAAAAATATTAATATGTGTGATTTCTTTCGGCAATCAAAATGAAAATACTCCACTGGAAATTTTATGCCTATATGGGCCTAAATTTCACATGTAATGAAACATGAAGCCATTTATACTCAAACTCTAGTACTTATATTGTACTCCAATATAGCAAGGTTATCAGTTGCAAAATGGTATTTCTGTATATGGAATATTTGTTGTTTTAAGTTCTCTATGAAGATTCTTGTTAAATATCGAATGAATACACTATAAATATTGTCAGACGAAGACATCTCAAATATTACATTCTCATTCATTAAAAAAGTTTCAAGTCATCGTTATCAGTTTTTATAACATCATCGTTCTATAGCATTATGTGCTACATTTCAATTTTTAACAATTCTTACTTCCACCATGTGATCAACGCGATGATTTGAGTTCATCCAATTCACGAGTGAAGTCATCGGATCATTTTCCTCCACAGAAAATAGCCATAACCCGCCGCACAAGATTTGAAGTCAAAAGTATGAACAATATAGGAAGAAAAAACCCTCAAGATTCTTTTCTTTTTCGTTTTCTTCCTTGTGGGTCTCCATGTTTTTCATAATCACTTGCCCTCTTTCACTACTCTTTTATTTTATATTCTCTATGTAATTTATTCATCTTTTCGCTCGTCTAAATATGGTGGAAATGAAAATGTGGAGAATGTGTTGATTTTGTCTCTTGCCACGCGCCTAGGTTTGTCACATGTGCTATGTATTGTACGGCCTGGACTTTTCAGGCATTCCATTTAAAATACTTGACCATTCGGTGATCCATTGATTGATGAAATAGGACATCTGAATCTTCGGTTTTTTATCATATTTCCGGAATTCTTTAGTCTAAATTTCTGGTCACAACATCGTGGATTTCGGCATCTCGTACCACGGATGTAGAACTTTGTCTATTTACAGCTCAAATGGTTGCACAGAGGCTAGGCCCGGATACGACCGTGAGGAGTAGTTAACGATAGAGATCGAATCATCCTACTCCAGATATATTCGACGTGTTTTTCTTTCAATTTGCTGCCATTGGCTATTATTGGGTGTACTTTTTTCGCTGAAAATTATAACCCATACTTTTTCATTTTTTCCCATTTACGATTTTATCAATGACCATAGTATATCAGAGAAAAACAATTGACACCTTTCAATATTTCAAACATATTTTTTTTCTGAAATTATAAAAATCACACGACTGTGAAAACTTTTGACTGTAGTACAACAATGGGCCTTGTGTGCCCTTCCTGCTTCAAGTGTGGCCATTGTTTCTCTTTGGGCTGAGTTGCACCTTAGGGTGTCGACATCTTCACGGCACACATCGTTCAAATTCGTATCATGAAAGAGTCTCTGGCGTAAATGCAATTTCTTTCAATTTCACGTCTTGACCATTAGAGGATTTCATCTCTTTACCGAAACTGGAAAAGTTGTTTCTAAACGGGCAAACCACAAGGAGTAACAATATTGCTTCCACCCAACCCATTAGTGCCTGCCTGCAGTGGCAAAGTTGATAAACATCAGTTTCATATGTTATGATGTACTGTGAGGGCGTCAAAAAGCTTCACTCATACCGCATCCACTATCACAGAGCTTTTTGACGCCTCATTACGCTGCATTCTATACGTTGTAGAATGCAGCGTAATGAAAGACTTTGATCCTTAGAGAAATACACTTTCACTTTCGCGAGAAGAGAAACCTGCAGACTAAGCTGTCAAAGACATGCGTCTAATGACATCTCGGTGAAGGTCTAATGACATTGCTATCGTGACAAAGCCCCTGGCTGTTGAAGAGTGTCAAGACTGACCTTACGGACGGTGTGGAAAACAAAGAGCACTTGCTTGAAGGTTGCTTGGCCATGACGGTAGTGAGAGGTAGACATTAGAGTAGGTTAGGTTGATTTTTGCTTTTGGTGTGGCTAAATATTGCCAAAACTTACAGACTGACTAACTTTTTTACAGATATTCTCAATTTGGTTTCATTTGTACCTAATTTAAACACTATGGAAAATCAGATATATAAAGTATGAATGAATTAAGAGTTTACATTTTCACATGTGAGCTGTGGTGTCCGTGGATGTGGTTTTGCAGGTGAAACAAATACATGATTGAGTGCCATGATTTTTCACTGTCTTCTTTGGGCTAGCTTTGGTGTCATTTACAGTCATGGTTCAAGCTCAGACCTACGTTTTGTATACAATCTCATTTGTGTCATGGTTATCTTGCAAAGTGTAAAGACAAGTATTGAAAATATACAAGTTAAATATGATGAGATCACTTAAAGATTGCAAGACATGTATACTACATGCAAGGTACATTGATACTGTTGTTGATTACTAAGAACACGGTGATAATGTGATTAACATCTCCATTAAATTTTTATTCGAGACCTTATTGAGACTAAATTTTCATGTTAGATTTTTTGTTGTCTGATGCATTTCATGATGTTACCCAATGAGTTTTTGCTTCTATTGTCACATGGTGAGAAATTTTTTGATATGAGAACAAAATTTAATTTCAAAACAAAATATGTATCCATATAAAAGATATTAAGAGCCGACAATAGCATTCAGTTTGTAGATTGCCAAGAATATATTGAAAGATGTAATCACGGATACTCTAAAATTTAAAGTGTTATAAAGTTCTTAAAACATGTTATCAAATAAAATTAAATATAATATGGAGATCTAAGAGTTTTTGTTTAAGTATTTTTTTTTATTTAGAAAAATATCATATATCATGATCAAATCTGAAATTTTTTTCATCAATTTTGTAAGTAATTCTTAATATAAAATTTTAGTATGTATATATATGTTATATTAAAACTCTTTGAATCTGATCTTTGACTAAATCATTTTAATCAGGAAGTATAAAA